CCAGGCGGGTCTCGAACTCGCGGGCTCAGGCAATCCACTCACCTCAGCCTCCCAAGGTGCTGGGATTACAGGCTGAGCCACCAAGCTCGGCGAATTTTTTTTTTTTTTAATGTATGGTAGAGACGAGGTCCCATAAAGTTACCCCAGTTGGTCTCGAACCCACAGGCTCAGGTAATCCACTTGTCTTGGCCTCTCAAAGTGCTGGGATTACAGGCTGAGCCACCAAGCCCTGCCATTTAAAAAAATTTTGTTGTAGAGACGAGATCTCGCCGCATTGCTCAGGCTGGTCTTGAATCTCTGCATTCAGGCAATCCTCTTGCCTCCGCCTCACAAAGTGCTGGCATTACAGGTGTGAGCCACTGCATCTGGCCATTAACTCAATTTTGAGGTGAGGAAACAGGGATAGAGAGGTTGATAACTTGTCCAGAGTCACAGCTAACAGGCATTGCAGCCAGGATTCACAACCCAACAGTGGTTCCAGAGCCTGTTTTCTGACCTCCACTACAAGTAGATAAACCGAGGCACCAAGAAAAGCAGTAACATGCCTTGGAATTGTCAACACACTTCAACTCGTTTCCTGTATTAGTGGAGTGACCACAAGCACAAGCTCCAGAGACAGTCAACCTGGTTTTGATATCCAGCTTCACCTACTGAGTGCATGGGAAAATGCTGGAAGTTCACTTTCTTTATCTTGTAAAATACTACATACCCAAAGGGTGGTTTGATTTAAAACAAACAACTCAGCCGGGCTGGGTGGCTCAGCCTGTAATCCCAGCGCTTTGGGAGGCTGAGGTGAGTGGATTGCCTGAATCTGCGGGTTCAAGACCTGCCTGGGCAACTTGGTGAGACCTCATCTCTACAGTAAATCAAAAATTAGCCAGACGTGGTAGTGTGTGCCTGTAGTTCCAGCTACTTGGAAGGCTGAGGCAGAAGGAACGCCAGAGCCCAGCAAGTCAAGGCTGCGGTGGCCGGGGGCGTGCCACTGCACTCCAGTCTGGGCGACAGAGTGAGACTCCAACTCAAAAAATAAAAAATAAAATAAAATAAAACAAACAACTCATTTATGTAGAAGTTTAGCACTGTGTCTGGCACACAGAAAGTGATTAATAAATGACAGTGACCCCCCGTCACCCCCAGCCCTGGGTGCTGGTCAACTGCATACAACACAGGAACCCAGTAATTCTGTCCACAGCCCCCACTTGAGATCCTCACCTGGGAGATGCTGACGCCTGTGAGTCTTTCTACACTTTCTGGCAGATGGCTCAGGATGTCCAGTACTTCCCCAGTCACTTTGGCTGCTCCCATGGTCCCACTTCCACTGGACACCAATGTGATCTTATTAGCTGAGGTCAAGGGACCACTGATTTCTTCTGCCACCTGGTAGGTGAGAGACGCCCACTCAGTGCCCATGTTCTGATCACACCCCTCATAAAACAACCTTTAAGATCTTGTCCTACTGATTGGCCTTCCTCACTTTGGTCACTGGCTAATAATTCCCAGCTCCAGTTCTTCCCAACCCTGCTAGTCCCTGGTGCTGGTTCCTCCTCTCCCAGTGCCCACACAACCCCCAGACCTGGGGCAGCTTCTC